ACCTGAGCCAAAACCGAGAGTCAGATGTTCAATCAACTGAGCTACCCACACACCCCTGAGTTGGTTTCTAAATAAAAATGCAATGCTTTTCAATGTTTATAGCAGATTAAGATATGTCTACTGTGAATCAGTCATACACAATCTGTAGATTATCTGCTATGACAACACTTCTGAGCCCTTCAATCTACACGTTTAAACAAACTGTTGGATTCGTTGCTTCGCAAAGACAGGTGAAAAGAATTTCTAGCTAAGTACTCACTAGGATGTGATCAGAGTTGTCAAAATATGCTTTATGATACTATTTTAAATTAAATTCTTTAAAGAAAAGTGAAGCTGAATCATTTTATGTTTCTAAACTATGTGTTCTTCATACACAGATATTTAGTGTTGAAAATAAAACCAATCAAATAAATTGTTTAAAAGTGTAGCATGCATCATTGTTTTTTTGAGCAGGATTAAGTGTAATAGTTTTGGCATGATTTTTGCGTTGTTGTTGATTCTTCCCTTTGCTTTTCAGTTAAAACAAAAAATAAGAGCTAATGATTCAAAAGAAACTCATTTCTTTTCTCCACATGACTATTGGAAAGATCCTATCAAGCCTGAATCAACAACTATAATAAATCCTTGACTTAAAAAAAAAAAAAAATAACAAAATAACAAGTTGCTTTACTCACAAATACAGGTTTGTAAATTGAAAAAAAAAAGTGCTTTACAGGTATACATGAGACAAAATATTCTACCAAGTTTTCAACCAGGACTTCTGCTTCATAGTGATAGGCATTTTTCTGAGGCAAAGTTATGACAACATGCAAAATAATAAGACGATTGAACAAAGAAGGCAGAATCATTATGAAGAATGCCCACTAGGGTTGTACAGAGAGACTTCTTTCAAAACATCTTCAAAATATTGTACCCCAGTTCCTAACAGAATTGATTTCTGGTACACAGACTGAAAATCAAGATCGCCATGTATGAGAAAATGCGTGTAAAAAAAAAAACCAAAACTACCTCTAAAAAAAAACAAAAGAGCTATTCAAAAGTAAGATACTTTCACTCGAGAAGAAAGTATATTCTGTTGCTTTGGGATGCAGAGTTCTAAATATATCTGTCAAGTCCATCTGATCCAATGTCTCATTCAGGGCCCTTGTTTCTTTATTGACCATGTGTCTAGATGATCTATCCATTTCTGTAAGTGGGGTGTTAAAGTCCCCTGCAATTACCACATTCTTATCAATAAGGTTGCTTATGTTTATGAGTAATTGTTTTATATATTTGGGCGCTCCGGTATTCGGCGCATAGACATTTATAATTGTTAGCTCTTCCTGATGGATAGACCCTGTCACTATTATATAATGTCCTTCTTCATCTCTTGTTACAGCCTTTAATTTAAAGTCTAGTTTGTCTGAAATAAGTATGGCTACTCCAGCTTTCTTTTGGCTTCCAGTAGCATGATAAATAGTTCTCCATCCCCTCACTCTCAATCTAAAGGTGTCCTCAGGTCTAAAATGAGTCTCTTGTAGACAGCAAATAGATGGGTCTTGTTTTTTTATCCATTCTGATACCCTATGTCTTTTGGTTGGCGCATTTAATCCATTTACATTCAGTGTTATTATAGAAAGATACGGGTTTAGAGTCATTGTGATGTCTGTATGTTTTATGCTTGTAGTCATGTCTCTGGTACTTTGTCTCACAGGATCCCCCTTAGGATCTCTTGTAGGGCTGGTTTAGTGGTGACAAATTCCTTCAGTTTTTGTTTGTTTGGGAAGACCTTTATCTCTCCTTCTATTCTAAATGAAAGACTTGCTGGATAAAGGATTCTCGGCTGCATATTTTTTCTGTCTAGCACACTGAAAATCTCGTGCCAATTCTTTCTGGCCTGCCAAGTTTCAAAAGAGAGATCAGTCACGAGTTATAGGTCTCCCTTTATATATGAGGGCACGTTTACCCCTTGCTGCTTTCAGAATTTTCTCTTTATCCTTGTATTTTGCCAGTTTCACTATGATATGTCGTGCAGAAGATCGATTCAAGTTACGTCTGAAGGGAGTTCTCTGTGCCTCTTGGATTTCAATGCCTTTTTCCTTCCCCACTTCAGGGAAGTTCTCAGCTATTATTTCTTCAAGTACCCCTTCAGCACCTTTCCCTCTCTCTTCCTCCTCTGGGATACCAATGATGCGTAGATTATTTCTTTTTAGTGTATCACTTAGTTCTCTAATTTTCCCCTCATACTCCTGGATTTTTTAATCTCTCTTTTTCTCAGCTTCCTCTTTTTCCATAACTTTATCTTCTAGTTCACCTATTCTCTCCTCTGCCTCTTCAATCCGAGCCGTGGTGGTTTCCATTTTGTTATGCATTTCGTTTAAAGCGTTTTTCAGCTCCTCGTGACTGTTCCTTAGTCCCTTGATCTCAGTAGCAGAGATTCTCTGCTGTCAGCTATACTGTTTTCAAGCCCAGCGATTAATTTTATGACTATTATTCTAAATTCACTTTCTGTTATATTATTTAAATCCTTTTTGATCAGCCAAAAGTAAGATACTTTCACTACACATTTAAATAGCCATAATTTCAAAACTAAGAACACTGGTTTGTTTTTTAAGTAAATTCATACAATAACCATCACATCCTATATGTCATTTTTAGAAAAATACTTATAGAACTACTCCTCAAGTTCCTTCTCTAAATAAATAAAACTGGCACATTTTTCTCTCTATTGAGAAAAAAATCTATTTCTATTTCCCTTTTTCCCATTTAGAGGCTAGGATAAAAAGACAAGTTGATTAATTTCTAATAAAATGTTTCCCTTATCCTCTCTTTTCCAAAGGAAGTTACTTTGAATGGGGGCCGAGGAACAATATCATTTGATATTTATCTAATTTTACACAAAATTAAAATTTTAATAAATGGAAAAATGTGACCTCAAATATCCGTACCATACACCTGAATTTTAAGAATAGAATATTCTAATGCAATTAGACTCACTAACTCCTATGTACAATATTGTTTGTTCATTGCAAACACATGCCGGAATTCAGCCAAACATGTAGCAGTGTTTTGTTTGAGTGTAGTACTTTATAAATGGTTTTTTTTTTTTTTTTGCCATTTGCCAAACCTCTTTTGTTGAGTTATTCAAACTAACTTCTGCCAAGAACACTAGGAATTTGGTGATAGTGCTTCTTTTAGGAGAAAACAACCCCTTTCCTCAGAAAACGGAAAATGTTTATCTTGGCACTAAAACCTTGTATTGAGCCTTCTGGAAAGTATTTTAAATTGTTGTTTTTAACCTAGACTCTGTGACTGAAACAGGAAAAGGTTTCATAGCTCTACACAAAAATACATATTTATAGGGCTGATTTTCTTTCTACACCAAAAATACTACGTTGATGGCAGCAATTTTCAAGCACAATTTCCTAGGACCATGCTAAAGTTTGGGCATTATCACTATATTCAACATACAACTTGTTTTTAAATCTCAAAACTAATGACTAAGAAATGATAAATGATGATCAAATATGCTATCCTTAGGTGTCATATTGGGAAGGATTGTTGCATTTAACTATGTTCTTTTAGGAATTATCACAAAAGGAAAATTTACTTGATATTGTACTTTCCTTCTGTGGATGTCAACAAAAGAAAGGTTTCTACGTTTTCAGCTTTTTTATATTTTCCCCACTAAGTATGCTTTATCTTCAGACTAGATGAACATAAAGATCAACCATGTGAACTTTTTGCAATATTGTCCTACTAATAATCTGAATACAATATGAAGTTTTGGAAAATTGATGCAATGATACAGTCTTTGTCCTTAACACCTCTACCTCGCCCCTAACAGTTCAAACAATTTCACAAAGACCTCTAGAGAGCTGCAATGATTTTTCAGTCACTAATAACCAACAAAAAATACTATGCACTCATTACCAATCCTTTGCAAATCAAGCCACCCTAGCCTGAAATTTGATCCATTTTTTTCCCTTCTATGGGCCTGGCTGTCCCTTTACAAGAGTAACAGCAGCAGTATCACTTTATAATGCATGTAAAATAGCTGATAAAGTGAAAATAAGTTAAAATCATATCATTGTGCTTATCAAATATTTATTAGGGTGTTCTGGAAGAAAATTGTTTTAAAATTCTGGTATGGTTAAATTGTCTTATTTAAAGGTATCTACAAAATACATCTTATTAAAACATGTAACTGCCTTTGTTAATCAAATACAAATTTTAATTTTAAAAGTTTGGTCCTTCCTGCTGTGATTGAATTCTGCCTATATCCAGAAAAATCATGAGAAAGTGTCTTCAAATTAGCGTAATAAGAGTGACATAAATGGAAATTACTGGTATCACTGATGGAAATTACTGGTATCACTGACAGAAAGGTTATGAAGGAGTGGACTCTTCCCAGTGAAAAATCCCATCCCTGTACTGCTATGGCTATACAGCGATGGTATCCTTTTTATTGGCCTTGAAATCTTGAGCCATCCTAACACTCCTCCACAGGCCTCACAGTTTCAGTGTCAATGAGAAATATAACTCCGACATTACGGACTAACGCAATACTTTAAAGACTATGACGAATATGCTAGTTTATCCCCACAGAAAATTTAGATTAAGCTCTACCATCACTTTTCTCTCATCTAAATCTAAAATGCTGACTGTTTTACAAGGAGAGTGAAGAATATCTAAAATCAGGTCCAGAAAAAACAAAAATTCACTTGTCAGAATTTGAGACTATTAATTTACATATTCAGCTTCCCAAGATGAACCTATAAGTAGAAAGTAAAAAAAAAAAACAAAAAAAAAAAAAACAAATCTTCTTTCCCTCCCTGTATTCACTAAGAAGCAGTGATTTATCTCTAACTATTCTAGAGGAAAGAAAAAAAAAAATACAACTCATGCCACTTGTGAGAAACGATTATTTAGGGAACAACTTTAGTTACATGGCTGATTCAAAAAACCACAAAGGACCACTATTTTTTTCCATTAAAATAAATAGGTATAACAGTACATACCTGAAAAAGAACATGTACATGGCAGCTGTGATGCAGAACAAAAGGACCTACAACAAGGAGAAAATACATTACTTGTAAAAGACCACTGACATCATTTGTGTGTCTTTCTTTTCAAATTTTAATTCCAGTATAGTTAGCATACAGTGTTATATTAGTTTCAGGTGTACAATATAGCAATCAATTCAACACTTCCGTACAACACCCATCGCTCCTTACAAGTACCCTCCTTAATCCCCATCACCTATTTAACCCATCCCCCCCATCGACCTCCCCTCTGGTAACCATCAGTTTGTTCTCTCTAGTTAAGAGTCTGTTTCTTGATTTGCCTCCCTCTCTCTCTTGTTTTCCTTTACTCGTTTGTTTTGGTTGTTTTTCTTTTGTTTTGTTTCTTAAATTCCACATGTGAGTAAAATTATATGGTATTTGTCTTTCTCTGACTGACTTATTTCGCTTACCATAATGTTCTCTAGCTCTATCCATGTCATTGCATCATTTGTATGTTATGAAGGCAAAATTCTCACTATTAAATCTTGTGCCTGAAACAATTTAAAGATGTGCACAACTAGTCATGCATGTACCACATTCCCTGTCTTTCAAATAAACCATGTTAAGGCAATAATGAGTCTGTTCACACACACAAACACAAATGAAATTATACACATTATACAATATGTATATATATTACAACATGTATATGTGTATATAGACTGGGCAGAAAGGTAACATGGTTCAAGAGGAACGACAAATTTTTTTAATTATCTGTAAGAATGCCTGAAGAAGCATAAGTAACTTAAGAACAAAGACATTTGTTCATTTATATAATGAAGTCAGCAAATAAATCATAAAGCTTATTAACTATTATACCAAGATGACCAGATTTGTATTCAAATGTAAAAAATGTTTCAGTGGTCAGCCAATTCTAATCAATAAGAAAAACTCCTAAAATTATAATCATCCTTTGTGGGATACAGACTAGCTGTAAAACAAAATTCCTCTAAAAGCAGGCATCCGAACACAATAAATCTAAATTTAAAGAGCTCCTCTCAAACACAACATAATAAGGTGTATGTGGAAAGAATCCAGAATCCAAGTGCTGACCAAAAGCTTAGTTATGCCAACAAAGTGGATCTCCGTAAGGTGTTTTAAATCACTGAAAAACAAGTTGTAAAAATGTGTTCTTGTGTTAACAGTATAAACTAAAACATGATTGTCAATGGCCTCACATCACAGATAAATGACAAACGAGCAATCTTTAACTGTAAAGGGCTTACCACAAAGTACAACAAAAATGAATATAGGACAAAATAGTGTTTTGGTACTTCCAACACAATTTCTAGTCAACTAAGAAAAGCATAGTAGTCTTTCTATTACAGTTAAGCTTGACAGGTTTGCCACCTTGGCTTAAGATAAGCATTATAAACATAATCTGAATGGCTTAGAGATCTATAAACCCAAGACCCAAAAGAAAATAGGTATCATTTACTACAAAACAAATATTTCTATTATTATATAGAAAACACATAACATCTCCTTCTCTATATAAAATATATAAAATCTCTTTCTAATAAACACACACAAAATCTTCTGTCCTCTCTCCTTCCTTTCCTCTTTCTCTTTTCCGTTGCCTTAAAAAATACCCTATCGATGATACGTAAGGTGTATATCACTGTTTTTGTAAACATAACATAAAGTGTATGGAATAACTTTCAATTACTGATTAACCAAAACCAATTAAAAATTAAAGTTCAAGTGAGTTTGTGTACTGGCTGTAATTTGCCAGCCAATGACCCAGATCATGAAACTCAATTTTTAGTTCCCTACCATTCTATACCCTTTGGGCAAAGCCTTAGTTCCCAGATGTTCAAGGTTTCATTCTTTCCCTGAGCTAGTCATTTTTCCCCCTTGCAAACCTACTCACAAACCTCTCTAGAAGTGTCCCACAAATCTTTTCCATACCCTCCACCTTTCTCTAAGGAAAATTTCCTTAGTCACTTTCTCTTAAAATGTTGCTATGCTCTATCCTAATGTTCTAAACCTATCAATGCTCATGTTAAACTAACATTTATCTTTGCAAATAATACACCTGCAAATGGGAAAAAGTACAATGTTAAAGATCTCAAGCTCTGGAATACAGCAGATCTGGGTTTGAGTCTAGTTGTATGTGACTTTCAATGCCTTATATAATTTCCCCTAAGACATAGATCTCTTGTCTATAAAGTGAGAATTGGAGTTCACTTTTTTATACAGTAGAGATTCAAGAGATAAAAATCGATACAAGCGGCGGTGGGGGGGGGGGGAACATAAAGGATATTAATGTACAATAGATCAATTCATTTAACAGATATTTACTGAATGCCTACTATGTTCCAGAAACTGTCTAGAACCTACAACAGTACACAAAATGGGCAAAGTCCTTACCCTAATGAAAGTTATCTTTTAGTCAGGTGAAAGAAGATATTAAAAGAAAATACTATGTTAAATAGTGATAGCAGTTTGGGAGAAAAACAAAGCAGGATAAGGAAATAAAGTGCAGGAGAATAGGGGTCGTGGTTTTATACAAAGTGGTCAAGGAAGCCAAGACTTAGTAGAGAGAGTGAGGAGATGAGGAGTAAGCAAGGGGACTGTATCAACAGAACCACTGGAAAGATTCTGATTTTTATTATGAAAGGTATTCAGTACTGTGTTAATTAAAGGTGCTAAAGAAAAGATTTAATTTTTAGTGATGTAGTGTTTTCAAAGTTTTTTAAATTAATTGTGCTAATTTATTAAACATGGTGTCTTCAAAAAAATGCTTTTCCAAATAAATGACAATCTGCAGTTAAATAAGGAAGAATATTTTCTGTTCTTCAAAATTCAGAATTTGAAGACAAAAGGAACTTAGATAAACCTCTATGTTTTTGTTTTTTTTTTTCATATCAGGAAACTAATGTCCTGAGAAGTTAAGTGATACATCCATGCTTACCCCAATAGCTGTATTTTGCATTTCCTTCATTAAACAACTATTGGTCAAATGAGTCACTCTAGAGCTGCTCTATACAGAGAATATTTAAATACAATTTAGACCCTCAAGAAGCTTACAGATAATGACTGCTCCATTGTCCAAATCTGTAGCTGCTGTTCACATGTGGCTAGTTAAATTTTTAATACCTTTACTGAAGTAAAATTAACATATTTAAAGTACACAATTTTGTAAGTCTTGATATAGGTATATATACCTATAAAATCATCATCATAATCAAGATAACAAACACATCCATCACATCCAAAAAGTTCTTAACCTCATTCCCTTATTATCATCTTCATATCTGCAGAATCTATAGTAATGTCACCTCTTTCATTCCCAGTATTTGTAGTTTGTATCTTATTTCTTGATCAGTCTGGATACAGATATAGTAACTGCATTGATTTTATCAAAGAACAAACTTTTGGTTTAATTAATCTTCTCTGATGTTTTTCTGTTTTCTATTTCATGGACTTCAATTTGATCTTTATTAGTTCCTTTTTCTGTTTGCTTTAGATTTCATTTGCTTTTGTTTTCCTATTTTCTTAAAGACAGAAATTTAGGCCATTGATCTAAATTTTTTTTTTTTAATATCAGTATATAATGCCAAAATACCTGTTGTACATGTATTCTGATAATTTTGATAAGTTTGTTATTCATTTTTGTTTATTTAGAATACTTCTCTTAATGTATTTATCTATTAATTTATTTATTTGCAAGGGGTGGGGAGAGAGGGAAAGAGAGAATCCCAAACAGGCTCCATGCTGTCAGTACAGAGCCTGATGCAGGACTCAATCTCACAAACTGTAAGATCATAACCTGAGATGAAATCAAGAGCTCAACGGACTGAGCCACCCAGGCACCCCAATTCAGAATACTTTCTAATTCTGCTTTTGCTTACTGCTTGTAATCCATGACTTAATTAGAAGTATGTTAGTTCCCAAATATTTGGGGATTTTCAGTGACTTTTCTGTTGTCAATGACTTACTTGATTCTATTATGGTCAGAAAGTACTTTACATGACTTGATTATTTCCAAATTTATCAGGACTTATTTTACGTTCCAGAACACATCAGAATATGTTCCATATATTTGGCAAATACCCATGTGTATTTTATTTATTTTTTTAAAGTTTATTTTCTTCTTTAGTGATCTCTATACCCAACATGGGGCTTGAACTCCCAATGCTGAAATCAAGAGTCAGACAGAGCCAGCCAGGTGCCCCTCCAACCATGTGCATTTGAAAAGAATGTGCATTCTACTTTTGCTGGGAAGAGAGTATCAATTAGGTCAAGCTGGTTGATGGTGTAGTTCAAATCTTCTGTATCCTTATTGGATAAAGGGCTAGTATCCAAAATTTATAAAGAACTAACCAAACTCCACACCTGAACAACAAATAATCCAGTGAAGAAATGGGCAGAAGACATGGACACTTTGCCAAAGACAACCAGATGGCCAAAAGACACATGAAATGATGCTCAACATCACTCATCATCAGGGAAATACAAATCAAAGACACTCAGATACCACCTCACACTGGTCAGAGTGGCTAAAATGAACAAATGAGGATATTATAGATGCTGGCGAAGATGTGGAGAAACGGGAACCCTCTTGCACTGTTGGTGGGAATGCAAACCAGTACAGCTGCTCTGGAAAACTGTGTGGAGGTTCCTCAAAAGATTAAAAATAGATTTACCCTATGACCCAGCAATAGCACTGCTAGGAATTTACCCAAGGGATACAGGAGTGCTGATGCATAGGGGCACTTGTACCCCGATGTTTATAGCAGCACTTTCAACAACAGCCAAATTATGGGAAGAGCCTAAATGTCCATCAACTGATGAATGGATAAGGAAGATGTGGTTTATATAAACAATGGAATACTACTTGGCAATGAGAAGGAATGAAATCATGCCATCTGCAGCAATGTGGATGGAACTGGAGGGTATTATGCTAAGTAAAATAAGTCAGTCAGAGAAAGACAAATACCATATGTTTTCACTTATATGTGGATCTTGAGAAACTTAACAGAAGACCATGGGGGAA